ACCTCAACCTTGCCATTTGGAAGATACGTACCTTTCCCCCACCATATGTCCTACGCCACTTCGAGTATGCTTATCTAATCTCCGGTGGCTGAAGCTGTTCCTGGACAAGAGAAGCACCATACCTAGGTAGGTAGGGTAGTACCTAAGCAGGTACTTAATGCCCACGTCAGGCGGCGGCAGCTGTGATGATTTTCCGAAGTGAGGCCGTAGCTCCCCGTACCAGCATCTCTCCTGCGCCGAGTTTCGGGAAGCCTGCTCGTCGACATACATAGTCTCCCACCCCGGCAAACCTCCCCATTAACCACCGCCATCACTTCCCCTCACTCCCCCGACCAGCCTCGAAGATGGCTTCCGACGATTTGCACCCCCTCGCCGAGTCTGGCGTGACGATTCGGTCCGACAGCGAGCAGTACTCTCAAGGCGAAGACTTGACCGAATCACCTCCCTCGTCGAACTCGCCGATGATCCTCTACAAGCCGCCCACGTTTTGGAGCCTGGTCCGCGGCGCCGCCATCAATCTGCTTCTGCCCTTTGTCAATGGCATGATGCTCGGGTTTGGAGAGTTGTTTGCACATGAGGCTGCTTACAGGCTAGGATGGGGCGGCACCAAGGTATGGCTGGAATACCCCGCGAGTGGCTCTCATGCGTGTGCAGATGCGTCCCTCCACATGCACATGGTGCTGTCATCTGCATTGATCCGCATCTGATCTGACACGATACAGGTCTTCCCGATATCACGGAGACAAGCGCACGCCATTGGCCCCGGCCTGGAGGTTCGAGACAAGCACCGAAAGCCCACCACCGGTCTTGACGACCTGACGAGTCTGGAATGACTAGGCGGATGGGAATAAAGGGCGTGACTGCTGCAGAATGACGGAATGTCTCTACCTGTGGCAACCGCGAGCCGTTCTCCCAAGACAGGAGGAGACGATGCTACGCAGCAGATGTGAGGCCGCCGCCGGATGCGGCCCTGAGACCGTTTTGGCATGAACCTGCCCGTCCTAGCCAAGACAAAAAGCATGCATCTGCGCAGAGGAAGATGGAAGTCATCTACAGAAGAAGACAATGTAGTGACCCCTAGACGGGCAGCGTGGGCGTGGACGCGGATAGGACGGGTTATGGTGAGGATGCCAAGACTCGTGACCATCCGCAATCCGTATATATACGTATGCAAGCTTGCAAACCAGAATCAAAACAAGGCGTTTTTTTTTTTTGTAAACCTTCTACCTAAGATCTGCAGCTGAACCGAAATCCGATCCTAGTCCGAGATTGAATAAGTTTTCATTCGCCAATACCTTGACCAGATGCTGACCTCCTCCATCCCCCCCCCTGGCGTTTTGACCGCGGCACGGAGCCGGAGCTTGGGCCTGTGAACCCGTCGTTCAGAGTGACCCGACATTTTCCCGGCGCGTCCGCAGTAGTCCGCCCCAAAAATTTCCCAGCAAAGCGACCGCGAATTCGTCGTCGAGACTTTGGAGAGACAATCTTCAATCCCGACACCCTCCCATCCTCTCCCCTTCAATCCAGCTCACCATGCTGCCCAGCAGAGGCGTCCTGCGCTCCCTTCCCTCGGTGAGGGCAACCAGCAGCATCTCAAGTAAATCTGTAAACATCATCCAACCCCCCTCCACCGGGTGTTCCCGCCAGTGTTGTAGCACCGCGGCACAAGTCGCATCCAACGCTAACGTTGAATTGATCAGATCTCCCGGTCGCCCAGACGGCTCGGCGATGGACGGCAGTTCGGAACCTCCCTGCGCAGCAGCGGCGCCCCGTGGACAGCCCTGAGGCCCGTCAACTCTAGACTCGGCGGCCTCGCCGGCACAGTAGCCGTTGCCGGCTCCCTCGAGACGAGACGAGCCCTCTCCCTCTGGAACTCCAAGCCCGCCCCTGCACCGACACCAGCAGCTCCCGCAGAACCCCCCGTCCAAGCTGCCAATAGTGTCGAAGCCGCCTCCCCTTGGCCATCCTCCAACCCTTCCCCTGAGCCCGCCCTCGCCCAAGATGCCGCCGCCGCCGTCACGCCCTCGACCTCCATCCCCGACCTCGACGCCGCCGCCCTCCTCGATCTCCCCGAACAAATCGGCTTCCTCAAGACCCTCGGCCTCGATTTCGGCTGGGGTCCCTCCAGCGTCATGCAGTGGGCCTTTGAGCACGTCCACGTCTACTCGGGCCTGCCCTGGTGGGGCTCCATCGCCGCCACCGCCATCCTCCTGCGTCTCGTCATGTTCAAGCCCCTCCTCATGGCCCAGGACACCTCGGCGCGCATGCAGAAGCTGCAGCAGGACCCCAAGTACCTCGAGGTCCGCACCGGCCTGCAGGAGGCCATGTCCCGCGGCGACTCGGCCGGCATGGCCGAGCTGCGTCGGGACCTGTCCATGTTGAACAAGCGCGCCGGCGTGAACCCTCTCAACGGCCTCTGGGGTCTCCTCCAGATCCCCTTCGGCTACGGCATGTTCCGCGTCCTGAACGGCGCCGCCTCCATCCCCGTCCCCGGCATGGAGACGGGCGGCTTCCTCTGGGTCACCGACTTGACCGTGTCTGACCCCTTCTTCCTCCTCCCCATTGCCGGTCCGTTCGCCATGTTCGCCATGGTCAAGGTATGTTTATGCTTCATCCACCCCCTCTCGACAGCCGTATCGCTAAATGCTCAATCCTCCCCCAGCTCGGCGCCCGTTACGCCACGCCGCAGGCCAAGGCCCAGCAGAAGCTGTTGATGTACATCCTCGGCCCCCTCTCTGTCATCTTCACCGCCTACCTCCCCGCCGGCGTCCAGTGGTACTTCTTCGTCGCCGGCGCCATCGGTGTCGTCCAGAACTGGCTCTTCACTAAGCCCGGCTTCCGCAACCTCTTCGGCCTCATGCCCCTCCCCACGGCCCCGGCACCCGCCACCACAGCCGCGACCGTCGCTCCCTCTGGCCTGGCCTACCAGGCCCCCCGCGTCGCTCCCGCCCAGACCGCCGCCCAGGACGGCAGCATCAGCGGCGTCATCAACAGCCTGAAGCAGACGGTGCACGACGCCAAGGGCGGCGCCGGGAACTACATGGAGGCGAACCGCTCCAAGGAGGAGGCCAAGCACGCCAAGAAGTACGCCGAGAGGAGGAGCGAGCAGGAGAGGCAGAAGTTCTGGAGCGAGATGCGGAAGAAATGAGAGGTGCTGAGGCAAGCACCCGGGGGCGTTTTTCATGCGGGGAGAGAGAGCTCACACTTGTAAAATACGGAAGAAGAGGATGGGGCAAAGGCTCCCGACTCGAAGAGAGAGAGGCGCAAAAGACACTGTAATATACGGGTGTAAAAATAAATCACAAAAAAAACAGTTCATGTATCATATGGACACTGCACCGCAAGAATAATAGAGAACCGCCCTCCCCATTCAAGATGCTACCCCGTGGACGATGAACCCCGAGACAATCGTTAGGATGATCACCCCGGCAGGTCGAGATGTTGCGCGGGGTTATGGTATTCTCGCCCCCCCTCCCCCCAGTTTTGATGCTCGCCGCATCGTCCGCGAGGGAATGTCCTACAGGGCCCAATCATCTGCTTAAGCGACGGCCAACGAGATGAGGACTAGGTCTAGTAGGTCACTTTCATGGTTTTGGACCGGGACCAGACGAATCCCTAATGGGCACACAGGCGGCAGCGGCTTGCTTGCCGGATGGGAGCTCGGAGACCGGGAGCAGCCCACCCTGTTTTCCCTGGTCCAACACCATCCACCTACGGCCCTCAACAGAATCAAGCCCTGCCCCATCGTCTCGATGCCTTCATAATATGTGCGCTGGGCTTCCACCTGGAATTTTGGGTCATTATACCTGCAACGTGACAGGATGAGCAAGAGGTTAAAACAGTAGACAAATATATACATATAAAGGGCAGCAACACCTCACTAAGAAAGCATCTCACGAGCACACGTCCTTTTATCATTTCCATCAACATGAATCCGATGCCAGGCCCAACTGCGTCATCCGAAACGACGAGCCGCTTCTAACGATGATTGACCCCGGCTACGGACGGTGAGGGTGAGCTTGCCAGCTAACCTGCAGCAATCACAGGCGCAGCTCAAACGTCCAGAAACTAAACATTTTGTCTCCGGTGTGACTCCCGGGAACCTATAAAACCTGCCCCCTTCGAGATTCTTCCGACGTTACGAAAAAAGGAGAAAAGGAAAAAAGAAGAAAAAAAAACCCCAAGAAACGACACAGACACGTCCGAACAGGAGAGGTTGTTATACAGTGGATAGTTATATAGCTAAGGATAAGGACCATACAATACGAGATGGCCGGCGTTTTCTCGTCACCAACGTGCCCCAGCAAGAGAGTCATCAACCGGGCCATAAACAAATTTCTCCCCTACCATCAACCATCCCCAGCCCAGTACCGCACCTGCATACAACCCCGCTGCTCCACCCAAACATTCCGCTTCCGCTCCGACTGATATCCGCCGTTATAACGGACTCGCTCCCGGGGTGGCCAGGTACAAGTGCGTGCCAGCGTAAAGCAAACTGCTTCGAGATAATTCGCAAGTGCGATTTTCACAGCTCTGATTCCTGACATGGACTCTGCTTGATGAGAGGCCACGCACAAGTAAACCCTCTTCGCCGGTTTTGCCGATCTTCTCCACGAGGTTTCTACAGCCCGAGCTGGTCCACGACCAAGGTCTAAAGCCGACAAACCGTAAACGGCCCTACAAAAACAATGCGACTTCTATCCACAATATATTTATCCCTCTCTCTCACTAGCCACAGCCAGGGCTCACAATAGAAAAAAAATACCATCTTTCCATCCCCCGCCGCCGCCGCTGGTGTGGGAGATGCACATTGCCCTTCCCACGGAGCGGTTTCTCCACACCGGCCGGTTCCGACCCCCCGACACCGACCCCGTCCGCAAGGGTCCCCCGCAGGAGGTTTTCCGGTTGCAAATTTTTTTTTTTTTTCACACACCCACACACCAGTTCTTCCCCTCCCTTCCGTTGATAGCACCACAATCTGAGCCTGTTGTCCAACAATTGGTCTGGTGGTGTAGTTGGTTATCACGTCAGTCTAACAGTTCGAGGTCCAACTCCCCTCGGCTGAGCACACTGAAGGTCTCCGGTTCAAGTCCGGGCTAGATCATCATATGGGCGATTGGTTTAGTGGTATAATGACCGCTTAGCATGCGGTAGGTCCAGGGTTCGATTCCCTGATCGTCCATTCATTTTTGCCTTTTTTTTTCGTTTTTTTTTTTCGTCTACATCTCTAGGATGCCCAGATGGTGGTGGCATAGATAAGGTGCTTACGGGCGGGTCGCGTGGCCGTGTGATGTTTGCCTATCCCGGCCGACAGCTCGCTCGGCGACGCTGTTTTACTGTGTACGCATCGACTGGCAAGCAGTTTTGCCGGATGGGGAGGGGGCCCAGCCAGCGAGCGGTTGACTATTTCCACGTGGAAGGAAGGCCAAGCAAGGTAAACAAACCTTCCGGGTCACCCACTTTGGACTTTGTCCGTCACCAGGTGTTCTCATTCCGGAATACTCTGAGTACATACACTCCACTCGGATCGTGCCGAGACACGCTCTTGGCGACGAACCCAAATGCCACGAACGAGGAGCTTCAAGCCATGATCTGGGAAACAAATGAGGGTCATTGTCGAGCGCCGACAATCGGCTGCGACTGACAAGGTCCCTTCTTTCTCGCTCGCTGATGGTATCTGTCGCGCCCTGAAGACATGGCTGTAGATCTAGAATTGGCCATTGTTCGAGGCAGGAGGCTAACCAGCAGCGGGACTCCCTAGCCACAAGCTGACCTCTCGATAAGACCTGATAATTAGTGTTTACGCCGCCCCCAAGCACGCACACATGGAGTTCACAGCATGGCCGCCTCGTGGCATCACCACGCGAGGCCGAAGTGACGCGCCGGAATGGTGCTAGGAGAGGGCTGTATCCCCATCGGCCATCAAGCCTCTTTGTGATCCCAAGACGGACTGGGCAGGGAGTTTGGTTGTGCAGGAGGCTCCCAGACGATCCTGGAACTAGCAAAGTACGGGGTGCCTTTGGCGGACGTGACGGCCGGGAGCAGGGCCGCGCTTGACTTTGGTCTGTTGGGCATGGCACCAAAAGAATGAATGCATGGCAAAAGTCCAACGGCAATAAATTTTCAATGGTACCACCTGCCAAGCATCCATCTTCCACTTGAAGCCAGCCGCTCAGCGTCCTGGATTCGATGATATTCGAGGAGCCCGGGCTACGCCACAAAAGTACCTTCCCAAGCCCAGATCGGCACAGGACATTTTTTGGCCAGAGCTCCGTGACAGGGGGGTACTTGAGGGAAGGCGAAGACCATGGCCGGGGGTTGCGGGTGGATTCAATCTACGCAGTGGGTCGGTGAAGAAAATGGCACGAGCCGACGGATGATCCTGGACCTACATAGTAAGTAAGGTCCGAAACCACCTGTACGAAGTACTATTCTGTAGAGATTCGCAAACCGCCCTGCCGCCACTTGGCGAGGGGGTTCGGTTTGGTTCCAGTGGAGGCCGCTACTTGCCTTAACATTGGGGAGATGGGCTCTGTCGTTAGATTTGGCGCCCGCTGCGTGAGGTTTAAGCTGCGAGAAGGGAGCGCTAAGCAGGGCTGGATGACGAGTTCCCGCTGCTAAGTAAGGTCTTGAGCGCAAGCGTCCGAGAGTCATGAGCTCGAAGGGTCTGAAACCATGCCATTTAACCAACTCGCTGTATCCCAGAAGCGAACCGCCTTGATCGCCTCCAATAGTGAAATTGGATCCCGAGAAGCCCTCTTGTTCACCATTCGGGGGAAGGGGGCTGTACGCCTGCCCGGCCTTGACACGTTTTTGTCTTGCTAGTTCCGTCCCCTGGGACGGGTGGTTTGGGGCGCTTGGTGCCAACACCACGATTGACGGTTGGGAGGTGCATTCCATGCCATGCGGTGCTTGGCCATGCTTCCATCGTCATCGGTACACGAGTATTGGCTTGGCTTGTTACAAGATCAAAGGGGGGAAGGAAAATCATAAGAAATGACAGGTAGGAAAAAAAAAAATCTTTCATGCCGGTTTGCTGGCATCGAACCACGAATTTAGAGAGGAGCTGAGCTGCATGGCATGGCGCGCGCGCGCGTGGGAATCAATGTCTCTGTCTTACCGCCACCTGCACGTTTGCGTCGTTTTCAGACATTTTACAAGATGGATGGTATTGAGCCCAATTCCGCTCGAGGCAATGCATGGACGATTCCGGCGGACCATGGTCCATTGCCATCCGGAAGCGAGGCGCCATCCATCCATCCATCCATCAGTGAGAAAATATTGTACGTGGTTCAGCGCATCAATACGCAGTGCAGTGCAGGCAGCGTGATACCTATGCGGCGGTCCCGTGTCGGTGCCGTGCTATTCCCGAAACGTGCACAGTCTCCCGTACCTTGCAGGCTTTGGCTGCACTGCAACACAGTCATACCACCCTCCCCAATCCCAGAGAGCAGAGCCCAGGTCCCCGGTACCGTCACTTGAGCCTTCCGGTCTCTCGGTTTTCCAGAGATTGGTACACCAGGCAGAGAAGATTCGAGCCTTCCCTTCGCCCTTCGGGGCCCTCGGGGCTCTCAAGGAGAGGAGGGGGGCACCCCTGCTGGCGCTTGTGCCGTCGTGTTTGCCAACCTGTAATGTGTGAGTGAGGATGAATACGGATACGTGTGGGTGTAATCATCTATGTATTGTATCCGTACCCAGCCATTATGCTTAGCGGCAGGGCCAGACAACCAGAGTGAATTGATGCCAGTGCTTGCTGGCTAGGTGGCCGACGTTACATCTGAGCAGCAAACCAATTTCTCCATGTATCCGTAGATACAATAGACAGATAGTATTCCCACGAACCGGAGATAGGGATGGGCTGGGACAATGGCGAGCAGCGCACAAGGCTCCTGTTCCGGTACTTGAGCCACTGGGGGCTCAAGAAGTGAAGTGATTGTCGCTGGACGGGCCGTGGAGATTACGATGTGTAGTGCGCACTTTGCAAGTCGGCATTGGGCAGCCGTGTCATGGCTTTTTGATGGCCCGAAACTGGAGCAGCGCGGAATCTAGGGCCTTTTCCCCGGCGGCGGCTCCAACGCGATCAGTACATTTTGAGTGTGACGTCTGCGGCAATGGGAGAAAGAGTTTTCTGTGTCTGGATTCCTGGACGGAATCTTCCGTTGGCTGTCTGTTGCTATGACTGGCAAAAGACAGAGGAGGAGAAAATGGCCGATGGTCTGAGCCAAGGATCCAGGGCCCACACATGGCACTATAGGGTATGGGCAGAGGCAGCAATTGCAAGGACATGATGCCGACTTTTTTTTTTTCTTCCTCGATAAGAGGGTCGAGCTCGGCAAATGGTGCTTGTTCTCACTGTCGTTGTTTGGGGAGAGGAGAAGAGCGACGGATAGGTAATATGAGGGTGGCATGGCATGGCATGCATGGGTTGGCGGGAGTTGATTCCGGGAGGAGTCTCCCCCCCTCCCCCACCCCTGGTGGCAGCGGGATAGGTAGGTGGAAGGGGACTTGAATCAGTTGGTGATTTGCGGTGGTGGGTCAGATCAGCAGCGATATTGCAGTCGGGGTGGTGTTGGTTAGGATGATCAGACAGGTAGCATATGGGTAATGTAGCATTTGTTGGTGATGATGGAGATGCCAATGAGCCGGTTGCAAGAAAGGAAGAGACAGACGGTAAGATAAGGATGAGAGGGAGCTACGGCCACGAGTTCGCAAACATCCGATGTGTAGATGAGAAAAGAAGAAACAGGAAAAATACCTACCTACCTACCGAGGTAGTGGGTAGCTACAGTACCTAAGCTTACCGGTACCTGGGCTACCTACCTAGGCAGGTACGGTACTCACATTGTACCTTCCTGCTTAGGTACTTGATGGAATCGTGTCCAGAAGAAAGTGCGGACGGAAAGAGGAGTCGGTCATACCTACCTACACTACCTAAGCATTCTTGTTTTTTTTTTTCCAAGATGGGAAAGCTTGGACCACGGAACGGCAGGAGACAAGCATCTCTTGTTCAACTCTCTTTCTTTTCTTTTCCCCCCACCGCAACGGCTCATGGCCAGCCCCTCCGAGAGCAGACTGCATAAGGCAGTCGGTGAGTGCCCACTACTTCGTACATGCTGGCTATTTACCTACTTACTACCTAGGTAGGTGGTGTATTTATTTGCATGTAGACGCTTGGTATGGTTACTGTAATCAAACCATTCCTCGGCCCGGCTTAGCACCAAGAAAGCAAGCAAGCAAGCAAGCAAGCAAGCATATGATGCACAGTCCTTACAGTCAGGTCAGATTGCGCTACCACGGTACCTTACCTACTTAGATCCGATGCTTACTTAGTTGCTTAGGTACCTTAGGTATGGATGGGCCTTGCCTTGGATACGTGCCTTTACTGCTGTGGATACCTGACCTGACTTCCCTCCGAGGGGCAGCCGCCCACCTTGTTTTTGGACCATACCTGTAGGTACGGTACGGAACAGTAGGCAATACGGATATTTCTGACATGGGCCATGCCGATGATTGATATGGACCCTTCTTGATGCTTGCTGCACGCCGGGTACGCACCAAGTTAAGTCCCTCGTGTTTGTTGGTCCGGGAGTTTCCCTGCGAGCCTTCTCCACCAAATCCTTTTGTCCTCCTCCTCCTGTGCTCCTCCTGCTCCTCCTGCTCCTGCTCCTTCTTATTACCCCGGCGCGTCTCCTTCCCGTGCCGTGTCTACTACGGAGAAAGAGGAGCCCGGCATGTCCCAAAATGGAAGACTGTTTGTCAAGTCCATCCACTGAGCTGAGTTGAGCACCCGCCCGCCCACCTGCGAGACAATGTTTGTTCATCGCTTTGGTGAAGGGGCACACTGTACGGGGAGTATGGAGTTATGGATGGCATCGCCAGAGAGGCGACCTATCTATCGTCAATAATATCCCGTCCTTTTTTTTTATACCATGTACATATAGTATACTCTGTAATGCATCGCACACCTCGTTTATCATTCCACCAAACAATCTAACAACCACCTCCACGGCCTGGGTACCCTTTATGGATTCATTACCCGGCAACTGGAACTCGCTGGTTGCCCCAAGGGAAATCCCAATTCAATTCAATTCCATGTCTCGGTTC